GACTGAGACCTAAGCATACATATGCCCTAAGTTGCAGGCTTTATTTTGGGAAGAGCATGTCTCCTGTCTTGGTGCTGGGACAAGGGTCTCTCTGCAGCTGTGGACACAGTGTGGCACTTGAGAGGATGCAGAAGGTGCTGCCTCCAAGCACCCCCAAAAAGCAGCAAAGTGCTGGGGTAAGCCCTGCCTGGTGTAAGAGCAAGGGCTGGGAAGTTTGTTAACCCTTGGTTGCTGTGGGTGTCCATGCCCATATACATGTTCTCTGGGAAAGCTCCCTTGCCACTATATGTTGGTCACATGTGACTTGATGCCTCTCCAGATGTCAGCAACTCTCACTAAACTCCTGTGTCAAGAGGTCACAGGTCAGGGTCGTGCCCTGATTATGTCAGCGGGTTGGTGGTACCTCCATGGCAAGGTCCTTGATCAGTGTGCAGAGACAGCATGCAGGCTCTCCTGCAGTCCCTGCACAGTTAAGGAGCACCAGAAGAGTAGTTTTAGAAGGGCCAGTGATGTCTAGCAGGAGCCTAGGAGAGAGTTCGGTGCCCGTCTCCAAGGTCATTGTCCCCTGTTGGGACACAGAACCTGCTGGTAGTATCTGCAAGGCATGACCCAAAATCTACCCCCAAAAGACGCCTTTTGTGGGAAGAACCCTCTGGTTCATGCTTGCCTGCAGGGAAGCTGTGCTAATGTCACTCCAGCCATGCTGATGTCACTGCAGCCTGATGCCATAGGAACAGCCTCTGCCACTATCCTAGCCATGTGCCAAGAGGAACACCAAGGCAGAGCTGGTGTTTGTGGCTGCCCTTGGGTTGGGGGCTCTCCCCAGACATCCAGCTCCCAGCAACGTTGCCTGATGCCCTCTCTTCTCCTGGCAGGTGGCATGATCAGCTTTGACGTCTTCCCAGAGGGCTGGGACAAGCGCTACTGCCTCAATGTGCTCGACGATGAGAGATTTGACACCATCCACTTCTTTGGGAACGAGACAACCCCCGTGAGTACGCCCCATTCTCCCCACACATGGCTGCTTTCTCTCCTGCTGCTCCATCATGGGTCCCATGGTCCCACTGGTGCCAACACAGACCTTTAGTGGTGTGAAGGGGGAAGATGCTGCCCTGTCCTGTGGGTTTGCAATACTCTCATGATGGTTCTCCTGGCTTGTGTGGAAATCACCTTGGATTCACTATGCTAGGAAGCAGGTCCACTTCAGCATTGCTTCCCTTGCCCCAGCACCCTCTGGAAGGCAGCAGCCACTGCTGTGGCCTGCATGACCCTGAACACAAGCCCCCAGCACTTAGGAGAGGACTCCTCAACAGCAGGATTAGCTTCCCTTTACTTTTAGAGCAGTGGAGGATGATGCTTCCTTACTGCTGTAGATCAGCTTGGTAATCCACTCAGGTCTTGCCAGATTCTGGCAGCCCCTGCTCCCCAGATGTGCCCATCCCACCTTCCACTAACCCCTCCACAGGCAGGGCAGGGGTTAACCCAGGCTTCTGGACTTTGCCGATCTGGGACCTTCCCTATCTTTTCTATGCTCCTCCCCTGGCACTGAAAAGGGAGACAAGAGGGAGGAAGCAGAGCTCCCAGCCCAGCCTCTTCTGCCCCCATGGGCCAGCAAAGCCCTGCCTGCCCAGCCTCTGGCTCCCAGCCCAGCTTCCCATGGGACAGAGCAAAATGTGGATTCATGGATGAGGTTGTTCTGCTAATGCTGTCGCTATTTTCTATTCCCCTGCAGGGAGGGAACGATTATGAAATCTATGATGATCCACGCACTGTAGGACACAGTGTCCAGTCCCCCCAGGACACAGTCCAGCGATGCCGCGAAATTTTCTTTCCAGAACGAGCAAATGAGTGCTGACTGCCCGGTCCCTGCAGCCCTGCCCCAGTCCCACTCTCTCCCTGCACCTGGAGAATGGAAAAGCACCTTCATTTGAGGAATCTGCTCAGAATAGATAAAAAAAACACTTGACAGAGCTGGTCAGGATGTAACATGTGAGTGTGGTAGGTGGCAGGAGGGGGCCTTGGCTGAGCAGGCCCTCAGTGCTCCCCGTGTATGGCTGGGGATCACCAGACCCTACTCGCCTCCAGAGAAACTTCTCTCTTGACACTTCAGCTGTGGTGGGCAGTAATGCAGATGCTTTTGTGGTCAGAAAGCATTTGAAAGAGGCAAAGAGCGAGTGTGTTTCCATCCTGCACTCCCTCTCCTCTCCTCTTCTCTCCTTTTCCATGCACTTTCTCGTAACACTTGTGCATGAGGGAACATGTGGCTCACGTTCTTCTCCCCCTTGCACCTTGGCCAGAGAGGCTGGGGCTGCTGGGGCTCAAGGCATTCACCAGAACTGCTCTGAGGCAGGAGGCCAGGAAGGCTGTTTGCTCCAAGCCTGTGGTCAGATGGAGTAGCTGAGATCCCAGCTTGTTGCACCGTTGTTCTTCCTAATGGAGAGGTCCCTGTGTCCTTCCCATCAGTGCCATAGTGTGCCAGTCCCTCCCTGCAGATGACCTGGGAACAATAGCTTTAACATGGCTGGGCTGCTGCTCTGAGCTTTGCTCGGGTGCATAAAGAAACCAGTTCTTCTCTTTAGCTTACAACAAACACCTAGGGTTTATTTTCTATATTATTCCCTATTTTCAAGTCAGACCTTGCATGGCACAGCTGGAGAATCCTGGCACTTCATGATATGGAACAGTTTGGGGTAGAAGGATTTCCAGTGGTCTTCCCACTAATGTATCCACTGGGCATCACAGAATCACAGAATTGTTAGGGTTGCAAGGGTCCTCTGGAAATCATCAAGTCCAACCCTCCTGCCAAAGCAGGATCACCTTGAGCAGGTGACAGGAATGTGTCCAGGTGGGTTTTGAATGTCTTCAGAAAGGGAGACTCCTCAGTCTCCCCAGGCAGCCTGTTCCAGTGCTCTGCCACCCTCAATGTAAAGAAGCTCTACCTCATGTTGAAGTGGAGCCTTGTGTTTTAGTTTATGGCCATTGCTCATCATCCTGTCGGTGGGCACCATCAAAGAGAATCTGGCACCATCCTCTTGGCATCTGCCTTTCAGATGTTTATATTTATTAATGAGATCCTCTTGCAGTCTTCTCTCCTCTGGACTTAACAGGCCCAGGTCCCACAGTCCTCATAAGAGAAATGTGTCCTTATAAAACCTTACCCATGGCATTCATAACAGACCAAGTCCCCTTCCCTCCCCAGTGCTCAGCTTTCCATCCTGCTGCCAGAGGCATTTTAAGCAGGGGTCAACACCAGTTGACCTGAAACACCTGGTTCATAGAGCTACTGGAGTTACCTGCTCAGCAGTGCCCTCCAAGCTTGGTCTTCTCATCCCACACACCCAGTTTACAAGCTCACCTTTAGGAGACAGGATGTCCAGTGCAATTGTCATATGTCCTGTTCCTCTCCCTGGATCTCTGTGGGTTTGCAACCCACATCTTTCCTTCAGCCTTTGACCTTCTCCCTCACATTGTCCTTTTATTCCCAGCAGTTGCATTGTAGTGTGTGGCCACAATGGTGACACTTGTTACAACTTGGTGCTCAAAAGGAGCTCAGGGATCCCGTCCATGGAGATGGTCTGCTTGTAGCTCCCCAAGGTACACAGATCTGGTGTTTGTGGACTTGGGAGAATGTTGGAGGTTTCTGCAAACCCTCCCTCAGGGAAGGCCCCTGTTGCTCATCCCAGGAACCTTTCTTACCCCATCCCTGCTGGTTATGGCACTGCCCCATCTCTTGGTCCTGTTTTCTCTCCCCTGTTCCTAGTTTCTTCATCGTTGCTCTCCATTTTCCACTGGCAGCTGGACTGCAGAGAGGAGTTTCTCAGCTGGCTACTGCCACCTGGGCAAGGCACCACCATTCTCCTCAGGCGAGAGACACTGGTGCTTTTTAGACCCAGGGCACGGCTCCCACATTGCCATGGGCAGAGTCCCTGGTGGCCCTTGGCACTGCTGCCTGGCCACAGGAGCAGGGATACTGCATGACCAGTGCTGGTGAAGTGCTGTTTCCTTCACCTGACTGCACCTCCTTACTACAACACATCAGATCTCTGATGCAGCACATTTGCATGAGCACAGAAGTCTGCCCAGCGTCCAGAAATCCTCAGCAAATCCATGAATTCCTCTTTCTACCCAGGGAAGATTTTTGTGTGGGAGAAGAGGACCTGTTGGAGAAGCTTCTATGCAGGATACCCTTTTCAAAGGTCACGTTTTTTGGCCCTCCACTGCAACCTTCATGGAGGAATTGTGTTTTGTGTCTGTTTCACTGTGGATCGGGTTATGTGTGAGTCTTAGGAAGTTTATTTTTCCTGTGAGTCTATTCATAGCCAGCAGGACCTCTAGTGAGCTTGATGATGAGTGAAGAGCAGGGTCTGGCCCTGACGGTGTAGGGCACTGGTGGCCTTGAGGGATGAGGTGACTTGCACCTTTGAAGTGAAAGGCATTTCCTGCCTGTCCCTGAGACCCCTTTGCTATGATGCTCCTCCCATGGTGTGTGCCCACAGCGTAAGTGGGGGTTTCTCCCAGGGATGTGAGCAAGCAGACGTGGCAGGCCCCACGCCTGGGACTGTCTTGGTGTATGGATCCATATCTGTGTGAGATGGGCAGCTCCTGTCTGGCTGATGACAACTGTTATATGAGAAATATATTTAAATACATAGATATGTATATTTAAAAATTAAAATCAATCCTATTAAAGCCACAACACTCAGCACCTGGAGGCAGTGTGTGCTTTGTGCTAGGCTGTGCTGTGGGAATGGCAACATGCAAGACACACTTCAAAGTCCCCACAGCAATGGGGGGCCAGCCCCACTCCTGGTCACCCCTCGGAGTGAGCAACAGCTTCCTGTCCCAGGCCCACAGTGTGGAGCATCTCCAGCCCCCTCCGGGACATACTGTGGGTGAGTCCTTTCTGATGTCTGGATAAATTCCTGGATGCTCCAGGTACTTTATCTGAGAGAGTCACTGTGACACATGCACACAGGACAAAGAGCCGGGACGGGCAGGCCTCATGGGAAAGTCACTTTTAATGGTTTATTGCCAATGTTACAAAGGTTGACACATGGTCAGACAGGCGGGAACCACACCAGAGTTGTAAAAACACCAACGAGTCTAGGGTTTTAGTTTATTTAAAAAAAAAAAAAAAATCGGGCAGTTTGCCTTGGCCAAACTGACTGCATGTCCTGGGGATGCCTGGAGCCTGAGCCAGAGTTGCCACAGCCTCTGGGAGAACCAGGTTTTGGGTTGGCAGTGAGATGGGCTAGAGGGTCCTGGGGTAATCCACAGCAGCATGGATGGTCCTCGCAAATCCACAGAGCCCAGCTGTCCTGCATGGCACCAGCTTTGCTCTGCTCCTTTCCCCACTTAGCCCTGTCGCCAGCAGAGGCAGCAAAAAAGGTGGCAAACACCCCTCTCCATCCATGCTGAGCATCAGCAGTGCCAGCAGCTCCTGCTGCTGCCTGTCCCCTTCTGCCCCACTCAGGGGGACTTGGTGGCACCCTACTGTCCCCAACCCTGCTTTGAATGCCTTAAGATGCTGGTAATTCCTGGAGCATGAGCACTGTTTCCCTGGGGTGAGCTCAAGAGCAGCCCAGTGCACGTTGTCCCTGTCCCAGTGCCCTCTTCCCTGTCACTCCCTGGGGCTGTGGGAACCCACCTGGCCAGGGTATGGCAAAAAAAGACAAAAAAACCAAAGTTTGTGCTTTGTATACAAGACCCTGCCTACACTGAGGGGCTGGGGAGGAGGTGGCTGTGCTTGCCCCATGACTGAGGCTGCTTAGACCCCTCAGCCCCTCACCACCCCAAGCAAGCTACAGACATGTACACGCACACACACACACACACACACACACACACACACACACTCTCACGCACGCACACGCATGGGAAGGGGGTCCCCAGGGGGCCGGGGGGCAAGGGAAGGAGGAGAAAATGTCTGCCTCCCCAAAACCATGTCAGCACTGAGCCAAGAAAAGTGCATTACTGCCCAGCAGCAGCAGGGAGCACAGAGGTGCCAAGTGCCCCATGCCCCATGCCCAGGTGCAGCCCCTCAGGCACAGCACCAAGTGCCCCGGGTGACCTGCCAGCACCTGTCTGCCTCTTAAAACCAAATTTTTTCTTTCTGTAAACCAGTCATCTCCCTGTGGCACTGCTGACCTGAGATCTTGTGATGGAGGGATGTGGCTCAGGTGGGTGCTGTGAGCTGCCAGCAATGGGGATGGGTCTCAGCCACCCAGACCCCGCACAGTGATATGCCACCCCACACCACCCTGTTTTGTCCCTGCACCAGAGCATGTCCCACTGCTGCTGTCCCACTGCGGACTGAGTGGGGTGCCCATCTTGCCAGAGTGGAGTTCAGGAGGGTGAGCTGAGCCACCCGCTCCTTCTCTCAGCACCTGCTTCAGCCCAGTAGAGCTGGAGGGCTGGGGCATAGGACTGGTTTCTCTATTCCCCATGGCCTCCAGAGCAGGGAATGGAACACGGGGCTCGGTGCTGCCCCTGGAGCTGGGGGACACTCAAGGAGGAATCTGCTTCCCCCGTCCCCCTCGACAGACACTTACAAACACACACAGACAAAGGAAACCGTAACCTTATAAAAGACACTGAACGCAAACGCCTGCATGTTTGGGGGCAGCCCCGGCCCCGCCGCCACCTCGGCTCCCCCCACACCCCTTGTGAGCGGCTGGGCAGGCTTGCTCCATGGGGCTGAGTGGCTGGCGGCCTCGCTGGGTGCCTAGGAGCCGATGATCTGGCCAGACCATGTCTCATGCTTCGTGTGGGGCGCCAGGTTGGTGAGGACCACCTCCACTGCCTGGAACTTCTGGTTCTTGGGAGGAATGGGGCAGACCTTGTACGTCACCTCATCCCCCTCCACTGGGACATACTCTCCCTCGATGCTGCAGGAGAGGAAAGGAGAGGTGGTGGTGCTGCTGCTGCAGCCAAGAGATGGACCCCTGCCCCGGACCCCCCAGAATGAAGGAGGGTACCTGACCCACCAATTGTGCCTTGGAAAAGAAAGCCCAATGATGATGGAGGGTACAGGACAAGCAGAGACCCGTGTCCACCCCATGGAGACCCCAGCCCAAAAGTCTCCAGCTCCATGCTGATGGCATGGCTTCCCTGGGGTTTTCCAGCACTGCACAGCCCTGGAACTTACTCAGACACATGCACGAAAATGTCCTCAGTGCCATTCTCTGGGGTGATAAACCCGTGGCCCTGGGAGCGAGAGAACTGCTTGCAGACGCCCTTGAAGATGGGGCCAGCAGAGGCACGCGCTGTCCTACAGGAGGAAAGAGAAGACTTTTCACTGGTGGCACTTGCCCAGGCGGAGGCACAGGGAGAGATTTTTGCTATGACCATGGCAGTTCCAGGCCGAATGCATGGCACCCACCCACAGCACTCTGGGCAGGGGTGTGCAGAGATGCTGGGCACCGCGGTGGCAAAATGCACCAGGTACAAAGGGTTCTGCAGGCACTGCAGGTGACCACAGCTCAACTGGACATTCCCAAACCCACCAGGTACTTACGCCGAGTAGGTCCTGGTCCTCTTGGTGGGGAGGGGGCTGGGCAGGTCCCGTAGCAGGAGGTTGCCCCGCTCCCAGATGCGGCTGCCCTCCCGCTGGAAGGGGAAGGTGGGCCACACTGGCGACTTGGGGGAGTGCAGGGGTGGCACTGCTGGCGGGGCGCTGGGGTCCGATGACATGGTGGGGTCGGTGGGCTCCTCCATTTTGGGATCGGATGGGTGAGCAGCTGGAGAAAGGATGCCCAGGCGTGTGGGCCTACTGCTGGTGACCTGGGGAGCAAAAGGGGCTGGGGGTTACAGGACCTTCTGTGAGGCTTTTGGCACAATTTACTGCCAGGAATTGTCCCTTGGCTCCCAGCCATTTGTGGGCACAGGGAGCTCCCACATGCTGCCAGCCTTCAGCGTTGGACACCAACCTCCAGCACTGGGAATTGCCCCAGGAAGCCTTTCCCAGCTTGGAGTCACCTGGGATGTTCCAGAAAATCAATCCCAAGAGAAAAACCTGGTTTGTTCAACCTTTCAATTGCCAGGATAATCTCACATATTAGAGATGAAGTCACTAAAAAGCACACCCTGGAAAAAGAAGCAGTGGAGCATGGGTTGCCACAGGCAGGGACCATTTTGGGAAGGATGCCCATGCAGTGCCAGCATGCCTGGGCCTCCAGTCACAGACCCTGAGAACTTCCCCCATCCTGAGATTTCTGATTTAAAAAGTGAAGCAAAAAGGCTGAGACAACGGGTCAGTACATCAAGGTCAGGGGTCTGAGGTCTTCTCAGCACAGGAGGTTGCTTCAGCCCCGCTGGATTTAGGATACAACCCCAACCCCAGCCAGCAGCTGCTGTCCCTCCAGGCACATTCCCACAGAAAAAAGGAACACCAGGAGACTGTGGTGAGGCTGCCAGCAACCCTCATGCACCTCAGGCACCTCAGTCCAGCCACCACAGAAGCACAACCTCCTGCTGCTGCCATCATCAGGCTCCAGTTTCTGAAGGCATCCTGCCATTCTCAAGGAGTTAAAGCCCTAAGGCACAGGAACCCTGCAGACGGAGCAATCACAATTGTGGACACTCTTGTCCTTGACAAAGCACCCCAGCATGAAATTGGAGGCGCTGTGCATTTTTAAGTCTCCCAGATGCTCTGATGTGTGATCAGCACTGCTGCCACTTGCTCAGAAAGTCCTTGCTCTGTTGATTTTTATTCCAATCAGTTGCTGCATCTGACACTGTGCCTCTGTCCCAGGGTGCCCCACACCAGGGGTTGCTTGAGGGCACCTCTCTTTGGGTGCACTGGGTGGGAGCTCACCCACTTCCATTGCTCCTCAGGCTCAGGAGTTTCCATTGCCTGGAGCTGAGAAGCCAAATATCCCATGTATTCCATCCCCTTCCCCAGCAACCCCATTAGCCCTTTTCCACCCCACTGGGGCATGCAGCATCTTTTGGGACAACACCTGCATACACCAGGAAACATAGAGAATTATTTGATTTCTTTTCTGACTCACTGTGGCCTTTTGAGACATGAAGGCCCTGGGGGGAAGCGCAAAAGGGGGTCACCTCCACTCTGAAATTAGCAGGCATCAAGGACACGAGAAAAGATTTCTAGAGCAGCTGAAGTGCCAAGGAGGGACTAGGCAATTCCTGTTCCCCTCACCCACTTCCACCTGAGGCTGTCACTATGAAAATGGTGCACCTCCTCTGTGCGGCTTTCTCTGGCAGAGGAGGCCTTTCCATCCCCCCACCAGTTTAGGGACAATGGAGGGTTTTAACCTGAATAAGGATGCTTGGAGCAAACTATTAGTATGCTGAAGGAGTTGGTTGGCATCCACAGAGGGCTGGAAAAATGGAAGTTTCCCAGAGGCAAAATTAAAATAAGGGAGTGCACAGGAGGGGGAGCTTGCAGGGACAAAACAGTGTGCACTGGTGAAGTGGCAACCAAGAATGGGTTTGCCCCAGGTTCACCTGTGGGACCAGCCAAGGCCCAGGTGCCCTGGAAGGCTCCCTGTTTTGGGGGATGAGTAGTGGTGAAGAATGGGAGCAGGCTGGACACTGCTGGGGAGGCAGACAGTCTGTTCCTGAGAGCTGAGGGAGCAGCAGAGATGCCCTCCTGGGCTGCTGTTTGCCCCCAGGAGCTGAGCTTGCTCCTTGTGGGAGAACAAGCGAGGTGCAATCCCCCACAGGCACTCTGGATGGCCCGTGGGGATGTTGGAGGGGAGCACTAGTGTAGGGTGGCAGCTCACTGGGATAAACAATGGGACAGGGTACAGCAAGGCTGTAGGATCCCCATCCTTAGTGGATGCACTGCCTGGACATGTCATGGAGCTGCCTGCTCTATCTCCTGCTTGGAGAAGGGCCTGGAGCAGAGATCTCTGTCCTGGAGCCAGGCCGAGGCCATCTCGCTCAGCAGCACTCAGCCCCTCTTCAGTACCTGGACCAAGAATCCCAGATTTGTCAGTCAGCCTTGGTGCCAGCAGCTGAATTCTTGGCTTTGGCAGTGCTGGTGAAGCTGAGATTGCATAGGAGCTTTGGCACATGGAGGACTCCAGGGCTGCATCCTACCTCCCACTTCATTTAAATCCCTGCTGCAAACAAAGGGACTGAGGAAATTAAACTCAGGGCAAAAGCAGGCTGAAAGAAGAGTGGGGACACAGGCATATCTTCACCAGTGTCTCCTCCCCTCCCAGCCCAGACAAAGATCAGGGAAAACCTCTGCTGTCCTCCTTCCCTCCCTGCTTTCCACCCCAGCACCCTCTCCCCAAACATTTCTCTACAATGCAGCCCCAGCAGGGGATAAGGAGGGAGTACCTCAGCGCAAGAGGCATTTTCACCCTCTCCTCAATCTCCTGTGGTCACAGTAATCTCTTCCGAGCATGAGAGCATCTCTTCTCCCCACCTCAGGTCTCTCCCAGCTTGGCTGACACCACCCCACGACACTATGTCCACCCCACGCACGTATACAGTGCAGGGACGAAATCGGGTCACTTGAGGAAGCAAGTGGAGAGACTGCAGCATCTCGGCTCTGCCGCGGGGCATGGGAAGCCTTTCCAGAGTAACCACCCTCCACTGCCACTGCTGGACCTCCACCTTGCTCCTCCCTGTCTCCTCTTGGTGGCTTTGCTCCGAGGGTCTCCCGGGGTGACAGTCCTCCAAGCCAAGGAGGCAAGTGGCTGCAAGCCCAGGGCTTCCTGAAAGGATGCTCTTTATAAAAAACACCTCCTTCCCTGTCCACCTTCTCTCCTCCCTCCCCCAAAAAAATCTCAAAGCCAAACCCCAGAGCCCTCTGGTGACAGGTGCTTCTTTGGTAGCAGAAGCCAGCTTTGCTTTTATATTTTCTGGAGGACAGGCTCCTGAACAAGCAGAGCTGACAGTCAGGAGCCCTCGCAAGCGGAGGCAGGAAACACAGGCCAATTAAGGCAGACAGGCAGTAGACACATCAGCTTTTATCTCGAGATCCAAGTACCCCATTCATCAGCAGCGACTGAAAGGTCTGCGGTTTATCAAATAAAATCACTGTCTCTCTCCCCTTCTTTAAAGCCAAACACATTGACTTGGGTGCTGGCTGTGACCTTGTTTAACTAAACAGCCTTTCAAGGCCCCCTAGAAGGGGGGAAAAGAGCCTTTTGAAGAGGCAGCAGCCTCTGTCTGCCACTCCCCATTCATTAGTGGCAGTGAAAAAAAAACCCTCACGCTCCCTCGCCCGGGCGGGGAAATACATATTTAATTAGCTTAATCGCCCTCGCTGAGCCGGCCCTCCTGTGCGGCGCTCCTTTGTGCTCCTTCCCATCCGCTGGAGCCCCCGGGATGCCCAGCATGGACTGGCGGATGGGTGGCCGCTTTGCTGGCGGCCCTCACGCTCCGGCTCTGGACGTGACCCTTCGGCTGGCCAGACCGTAGCCTTTGTGGGTAGTTCTCTTTCACGGCGCCGCTTCTCTTTGTAAATCCCCAGCTCGGAAGCTGCCTGCCACCACACTCGGCTCTCCCGAGTGCCACTGCTCCCCCCGCCCCAGCCAAGGAGCTGGGGGCTATTCTCCCTCTGCTGCCTTTTGCAGCAATCTCCTGCACGGGCTCTCCCACGCCACTCTCCATCACGTTTTCTCCATCCCTTGTGAATGCCCGTGGCCTCAGTTCGGGAGTCAGGCTTACTATCCCACTAAACCTGCCCCATTAGAAAAAAAAGATCTCTGTATGTCAAAAAGACACCCCACCTCCACAGCCAGCTGCCAGCAGCCATCTCCTCACCCCGTGGAGCACAGAAAGCAATGCTCTGGCCCGCTGCCATTCTCGGGGAGGCTGATGCCCCCCCAGACTTAGCTTGTCTAGACACAGGCTGAAACAGAGAAGAGCTACACCCCTCCAGACGCATGAGCGTGTCCCCAGAGATCAATGCAAAACGAAAAATCCAATTTTTCGGCTGCTGGGCACATTCACCTGCCGAGGGACCCAACAACAACACGTTGGCCATCAGAGATCCCAGGGGGGCTGCCATAAAGGGCAGGAACCAGCTGGGAAACCACGATGGCTCCAGGAAGGGGTTTCTGCGAGCAGGGCCAGTGCAACGCTGGCTGGGTTATGTTTCTCCATCCTTCCTTCCTCAGAGAAGGCTCACAGCCTTGGTGTCTGGCAGATTTTTATAAATGCTGTCTCTGTCTGATGCTAATGAAAGCCTCCCAGCTCCCCCCCTCTCCCGGTTTTGGTCACCAGATCATGTCAAGAGTTAAATATCAAGCAAAGCAATTTTCTCACCTACCCTGCCTATTACAAATCCCTTTGATGAGACAAATTACTATAGGAAAAATAAAACTAGGCGGTTTTTGGGCAATGCACACTGACAGCATCCCCTCCCCAGCTAAGCCAATCACACTCCCAACTCCAGAGATTTTTGCTGAGATAGTCTCGCCTACGATACAGCCTGCTTAGCGCTAAAATATGAATGTCACCTTTATGGATTGATTATAAAAAGCTCCCTTAGTCAGTGCTGGGCTGCCCAGTTCTCAGAGAGGCCATGAGGGAAAGCAAGCAGGCTGACAACTGCAAAGGAGAAGCAAATGGAGAAACCATCATGGAGGCTTGTTTTACCTTTTAAGCATGTATGCATAATCATCATTCCCAAATAAAAAATTTGTGAGATTTGTTTACTTTCTTGTGATGGTTTTTATTTTTTTAATTAGCATAGCATCTTTCAAAGACATGGCACAGACATCTTCGTCTGTGTCCTTCCTTCCTCCTTTGTGGATCTAACTTGCCATCGGCAGGAATAGTGCATCCAGTCCAAAGAAATCCCAATTTCAGCCCCTGTCACTATCAGCCCACTTTAATAAGTCAGATTTTTCACAAATTGCCTCCCGCTCACCCGGAATCCGAGAGCTGGATCCCAGCTGAGCTCAGCCCTCCGTGGCAAAGACCTGGATTATTTGCCCCCAAGCCAAAGCAGACGTGCAACATTGCCGCCGCCACCCCCAGGGGAGTTATTGTTCCTGAGGCTGGTGGAGAATAACCAAACCGGAGGGAAGTCACGCTTCATCCTCGCACCTCTCCACTGTCAAAAGGAAAAAGCAGGTTTCAAGGAAAAACGTGGACCGTGAAGTTTAATCTCCAGCTACAATAGCCCTGGCGCGTTGCATGGCCATTGTGCCTCCCCTTACTCACCTCCTTAGCAGCGACGGGCTCCCTGGAGCTGCGCTCTGCAGAGCATCGGTGCTCGGAGGGGCCCGACGCTCCTCCGCTGCCTTGCGAGGGGCCGCGGTCTCGCCTGCAGCCCGGCTCCGGGGGGCTTTGTCGGCTGGCTCCTGCCGGCTGATGGATCTGCGCTATCTGATGTGTGGATGATGTGCGCCTCGAACACACACGCATCCGCACGCCTTCCCCTGACGTCAGGGCCGGGCCAGGGGGAGCGGGCAGGTGGGAGGGATCAGCCTGGTCATTTCGGAGCTAGCTAGGCTTAAAGCAGAAAGTCTGTATGGGGGGCCGGAGGTGACGAGGGTCGGCCCCGGGGAGCTGCATCGCTCCGGTTGCGCAAAGTGACGCACATCGGTGGCACAGCCGGACGCAGTGGGGCAGCCCCACAGGCTGCAGGGACAGCAGGGTGGGGTGCACTGCAGGCAGGGATGCAGACAGGGTCCCTCACAAGGGGTGAAACCTCTCCCCTGTCACCCCAAGTCTCACTGGTGCCTGCAGCCGGCTCTTCCCGCCTGCCCAAGCACCCCAGGGTACTACAGTCACCACCGGTGCAGTAGGAGAGAACAGGAGGCACATGCCGCAAACCCATCTTACTGCCCCATTCCCTCGGGGCTCACAGCCAGCCATCACAAACCCGTGTGCTTTCTAAGGGTCTCATTTCTGTCAGTGCACTGTGCCAGAAGATCTTTTCTTTCTGTTTTCCCCTGTGCTTGTGTGACTGTGCTCAGGGGAGCCACCTCTGCGGGCAGAGGCCATGCTCTAAATTGGCCTGAGACTTTCTCAGTCGGGGTGTAGGGCAGTCGGATGAGGGCAGAATCGTTTGCTGATTCCATTGGGGAATAGGGAGAGGAGTAATGGGGTTTAAATTACAAAGAGTAAGATTGATGTTAGACATTAGGAAACACTTTCTCACAGAACAGACAGTTAATTACTCAAGTAGATTGCCCAGCCAAGCATCAGGGTCTCCATCACTGGAGGCTGGTAAGAACAGACTGGGTAGGCATAACTCAAGGAGGATTTAGATGATATCAGCCTCATTTTGGAGAAGAAAGGTAGTCAATATCAGCACTTTACCAAGCAAATCCCTGTAATCCTGGAATAAAATTCACAACAACCCCGAACAACCATGGTGCAGTGTCAGTGCTGCAGGGAGCTGTCATGGGCATCCTGTGACATGGGGTGGCTGCAGGTTGCTTTTGTTTCCTTAAACTCTTTCCTTGATACATTCTAAGTAGCTGAATATGGTGATGCCAAATAGACCTGTTCCAGAAACAACCCTCAGGGCTGCAGGGTGGTGCACAAGTTGTGTGGGAACCATGAGGCATGGCAGAGAGTCAGGAGAGAGGGTTACAACTGCTCCACCTGGTTATATCCATGCATCCATCCATCCCTCCATCCCTCCATCCATCCCTCCATCCATCCATCCATCCATCCACCCATCCATCCATCCATCCATCCATGCCAGTCTTGAGTGTTGATATGGGGCTGTCCCAAGGGCTTTGACAGAGTGATGAGATCACAAAGCACTTGTCTCTCTCCTGTCAATAAATTATAATGCAGAAAAAAACTCCATGGGCAGAAGAGAACAACCCATGGCAAGGACACCAAAAAGCACTGAAACTCCAAGTGCCAGTGGGTTCTGCCATTGTCCATCACACTCTGTTGTGGCTTTTCAAGTAGTTTTCCAGGACAGAACAGGAGCCACATTCATGCCCTACAGATACCACAAGTCTTATCTCTCCATTCTTCTCTTCAGAACTTTTGCAAAACAAGGGGAGGAGGCCCCAGCCAGCTCTCAGTCTCCCCTCTGAGTTTCTCCTGAGATGGCTTCTCCTTTCTGGAGGTACAACTTTGGCTCTCCCACATAAAGGCTGCTGATGGAAAATGCACAGGAGCTTGAAGTACATTTGGCTGGAAGGTGACACTGGGCATGTGCTGCAGCAGAGGAGGCAGAGAGTCTAAAGCAGGCATGATTTAAAAATGATAAAAGGAGAAGAGGGGAAGCTTTGATCAAACAGAGAGTGGGAGTGGGGGTGCCAGAGATGCCTGCAGAGATGGAAGCAAAGGCAGGAGTGAGGAGAACTTTTTATGTGAGAAGATACATAATTCCTTTGGAGTCAATCAAAGGAGGCCTAGAACTGTTGAGATGCAAATTACCACTCACCTCCCCTACCATCCCTGAGACAGTTTTCTCCAAGAGCCATGGGCATATGGGGACAGAGGAGATCTTAAACCAAGTAATTTGGGGGCTTCTTTCATTCTCCTCAAAGGTTCCAACCCTCCAGGTAACTTCAAATATTATTTTCCAGGTTTTCTGTACAATGAAGAGAATGAGAAATGTCTGGTATTTTCTCTGAGGGACAGAAAAACTCTTCAACTCCTGGATTCCAGCAGCTAAAGCTTAAAAAAAAAAAAACCACCAAAAAAAAACCCCCACAACCCAGCAACTGAGAACCATGCTCTGAAATACTGGAAAAGCCCCAATACTGCTGAAAGAGAGTCGAGAGACTTTATGGCTGTGCATAAACAGGTATGTACAGGCTCTGTGGATTTCTGGGTATTCACCACGTCAGTAGTACTGGGAGGAGACAAGTCAGCAAAACAAAGCTGTTCACATCATCTCCAGCAGCAAGACACTTCAGCAGCAGCCATAAATATAGTATAACTCTGAGCACTACCATTAGCTGAGGCAACACCCATATTTTACAGAGCATAATTTGGCTTTTGTTTATATTTCTACATTGAAGACAGCACTTGTGAAATATGGAAATCCTCCAAGGAGAAAACCTAGGTGGGAACAGAGCAACATCTGTCATGCATAGGCAGCCCAGGCATGCACTACTTGGGATTGGGGAGGGGCTACCTGAAGAAAGTGAGACTGGAAATCATTTCCCACAGCCTGGGATGTTCCTGGTGGAGGCTGAAACACTGAAATCCAGACTTGGTTTTGGGGTGATTGTAGCCTGGTAGCGGAGGCAGTGAAGCTTATCTGACACTGCCATCACCAGCCTTCTCTGCACACAATTCAGTTTCCCCAGCATGAAATCAAAGTACCTGCAAGTTTCAGCAAAACACACAGCTGCACAGAGAAGAAAAATGTTATTGTCCTTACTGAGTAGTGGCCCACAGCATTCAGCCCTTGTTGGCAATCACAGAACTGATATAGGAGAGAGATCCTGCACATCTTGCTTGGTGTCAGCACTTCATAGCATACGAAAGACCTCACCAACGGGACCCAAGACAGTATGAAGCAAAGCCTTGCAGACCTGCTGCTCACACAGTTGTTTTTTGGGGGCTGTGGATAAGGCTGAAGGGAGATGTGACTGCTTTGTATTGGGCACCCAAGAGCCCCCAGTGGGGCATGGTTATTGGAAGCATGGAAAATATTAGCTCAAGAATGCGCTAGAAATGGAAGCATGATACGACTCTGTCTAAATCCACTTCTCTCCATCTCCCATGCTCCCCCAGGTATTTCAGTCTACTATTCCCTGAGCTCATGCCCCTACTTAACCCTACAGTTCTTATATACAAGCATCCAGAGTGATCACCTTGCCAAAACCAGCAGTGCCTAAATTCTCTTTGTCTGATACCAAAGCTATTTCTTCCCCTGCTGTCAGGACAGGGTTGAGAACAATTTCCTCTTCTGAGTGAAGTAGCTATAGACACCTGCAAAAGCTGCACTAGGTAAAGGTCAAACCTTGCATTGCCAGACCTACATGAGGCCAGGACAGAACAGCAAGGGATGCAGCATATGTGCCAACAAAACTGTGCTGTGCCGAGATTAGTGCAGCTGTGACTGCAGTGTGGGAGAAAGGAGCCTTTGTAAGGCTCCCTGAAGTAGGACAAGAAAAGCAAGAAACACTAGGGATTTGGGTTGAGGTGTTCTGATAGAGTGGTGTCTGCTGTGCTGGCAGCAAAGCTCCTTGCTGAGACAGTAGATGTTGCTCCAAGAAAAAATGCTGCTTTTCCCAGGAGACAGGGGAAATCTTATTTCTGGGCCCACTATTTAATACTAACATGCCAAACATGGGCAGACCAGCCATGTTTATTTAAAAAAAAACAACATCCCCACAACCTAATAGACCCTAATGAAACACAGTAATTAAGAAGAAATCAACACCTCCTTATCCAAGACAGGTACCTTCTTAATGAGGCCTAACTAGGGTATTTCCAACCTTGTTTCCCCCTCCCTTTCCCAGACAACTCGATGTTTAATGATTTCTTACCTAAAGTGCTCTCCTTACTGTCCCACCACATGCTGCTGGGGAGCGTGGGGGATGACACACTTAGCCTTAGCATCAAAGCCATGATGCTGACAGTGCAGTTTTCACTGTCAGCCAGGGATGTTTGGTTTTCCTGGTGGATCTTTTTTTAAGCACACTTCAAACAACCTCCTTTCACTTTCCCTGACAAACCTTAGACGTTAGTGCACCCCCCTTGTTTTCTGCCATCCCTCATGCTGCTTCTCCCTCACTGCAGAACACACCGAGGCCTCAAAAATTATACCATGGGGGTTGGTTTCTCTTTGGCAATTAACACTCACAAATTATGCCAGCTCTGTATGGTGGCAGTTTGTCCCTGAAAAAATCCTTGACCTAAGCATTGGGCAGACAGAGCTGTGAGGGACTTCCAGGTGCAAAGATTATAAACCCACCCAGGTTTGCTGGAGATGTGGGCAAACAGCTGAAGAAATGGCAGAGACTTTCATCTTTGGGCTCCTGAGTGCAAGACAGACATGGAGCTCCTGCAGCAGGTCCAGCAGAGGGTAACAAGGGTAAGGGGGGACTGGAGATCTTCTCTTCCAAGGAAAGGCTGAGGGAGCTGGGCCTGTTCAGGCTCGGGAAGACTGAGAGGGCACCTCATCAATGTGTATGTCCATGAAGGGCGCCAAGAGTTTGGAGCCAGACTCTTCCTGGTGGTGCCAAGCAATAGTGAAGTAAATAAACGGGCCAGGAGACCTTGTGCTCCTTTCTTGAGAAGGCCTTTATTAAAAGGATAGCCTATGGGGGTGGGGGCTCGGGGTTCGCGACGGATCGGAGTCTTTGCCCTTGAAGGATATGTCAAAAGATTCACTTTGCAACTCGTTGATCTAGGGGCTTTACCTCGCTCTGGCTCCTTTGCTTACAGCAATTGCTTCAGAAATTCTGCGGGTCCTCTCCAGCTCCTGGAAACTTTCCCTGCACGTAGGTGTGGATCATTTTGCTGTCTCTGCTCTTGGCTTGTTGTCTGGCTATATTCCGATTTATGTTGAAGTCCAAAAATTGATATACAGTAGACACTAGGCTCTCTGGGAAACGGGAAATCTTCCCTGGGAGCAACTTCCTGGGAA